ATGGGGGAGGAGAGGTGGAGGAAGAGAGGTGGGGGGGGAGAGGAGAGTGTGTGTGTCGTCATTTCGAGTGAGTGTGTGTGTGTGTGTGTGTGTGTGTGTGTGTGTGTGAGAGAGAGAGAGAGAGAGAGAGAGGAAGAGAGGTGGGGGAGGAGAGTGTGTTTGTGTGTGTGTGTGCGATAAGATGAGCAAAATTGGACGAATCGACGGCTATAACATGGAAATATACACCGCCGAACTTGTTTGTTTGGTTCCGTGTGTGTGTGTGTGTGTGTGTGTGTGTGTGTGTGTGTGTGTGTGTGTGAGAGAGAGAGAGAGAGAGAGAGAGAGAGTCTTTCTCTTTCTGTCTCTATACCTCTCTCTCGCTTGGTGTGTGATACTATGTCTCAGTTTCTCCTCCTGGCCGTTGTTATGCCCCTCCCCCTCCGTGTTCCCTCAGCCCACTTTCCCCACCCGTTTTCTGTGTTGTGGACGGACCCAAGGCAGGCAACCACTTTTTTTTTTTTTTTTTTAATGAAAAACCAGGCCAGCTGTTTGGAGGGGTGATATGAGCAGCCCCACTTAACAGCCTTTCTGGTTGCTCCAATCTATTGGTGGGTAGAGCTGGTAATGGGGTCCAGCGTCCTTGAGCATGCAGATTTAGATCCACATTGAAGAAAGAGTATTGTCCTGCCGGCATTGATTGCCCCAAATAGCCGGGGGATTGACTGTGCAGGGTGGTGCCCGCTCGGCCCCAGTCCTCCTTGACTGTGCAGGGTGGGGGCCGGCAGGCCATGTATATTACCCCATTTATCTACTTTGCTCCGCCTTGTCGCCCCCCTTCTCTCTCTGCCCAAACTGTCCCCGCAGAGTTGTTGCCGACGATGCAGCTGTCTTGCCGATGAGCGCATTGTTCTGCACTCCGGAGAGTGAGACCTCCTATACCGCTCTGTACCACTGTAGGTCTACCATGGAGAGACCATGGGCCGGAAGGGAGGGGGAACTCTGAAGGAGGGTGCAGAGGAACCGCAGCGTCTACCTTGGTCCAGTCGTCGAACCAAATAATCATTTAATAATGTAGTCCCTCCTGAGCTCATCGCAACCAAGTTCTGGTATCTGGCCTCCTTCCCATCGAATGTAGGCCAGATTCATAGAATAAGCTAGCATAAAGATTGATAATTTACCATGCTGTTATGAAACCAAGTACCTTGTCTCACCATGCCGAGTATAGAAGGGTAATGCATGGGCATCATGCCCGTGTTAATCAACACTTCTATAATCATCTGTGATATGTAATGCCTCATACAAGTGATTATTGTATATTGAGCGTCTTTGCAGTTCTGTGGACTTTCGTGATGACAGCTAGTTGATTCTTTGCTTTGTCACCCATTTGATCAATGTTGTGTTCCGTGAAAACCGCCCACAGAAGAACAGACAAGGTGTAAACATGGGAGTAAAACACCCACTTGTGTGGCAGGCTCTGAAGATCGGACTGGAGGTGCATGTTGCACAGCCGTCCTTCCCCATGACCACAGCAAGCTGTTTGGATGTTTTTCTTGACCATAGAGTGGGTATAAACTATGAACTAGTATATACAACAAAGTACATAGAATAAGCTAGCATAAAGATTGATAATTTACCATGCTGCTATGAAGCCAAGTACCCTGTCTCACCATGCCGAGTATCGAAGGGTAATGCATGGGCATCATGCCCGTGTTAATCAACACTTCTATAATCATTTGTGATATGTAATGCCTCATACAAGTGATTATTGTATATTGAGTGTCTTTACAGTTCTGTGCACTTTCGTGATGCCATCTAGTGCATTCTTTGCTCTGTCACTCATTTGATCAGTGTTGATGTGTTCCGTGCTGTCTGCAGAAATCTTCGCCTCACCATGACAACATGAACGAGTACGTGCAGACTCCTTTGGAGTCAGTAAAGACTGTGTTTAAGCGGCAGTGGAAGGTTGCCATACGTAATAGGGCTTTCATAACTGCAAGGATGTTGCAAGTAAGTAAAAACTACTAAAGACTAGCAAAAAGTAAGTACTGCCAAAAATTACAGAAAAGCACTTCACTTGGCCATGAAATTAAAAAGGGACTTCCAGACTCCAGATCTCAACAACAGTTTACATTTCATGTGATACATCTTGTCTAGGCTGCGGCCATACAGCGCATCACCCATCTCCAAATCACCATTCAGGCAGTCAATCTTTTCTTGTTTTTTTTTCCCCTCCTTTTGTTTTGCATTGTTTTCTTTGACATACTATATCCGTTTACATGATCCCATTAACAAGGTTTTGGACGCTTAACCTGAGAGTCAATAGCTTGAGGTGTGTAAAATGCAGTCACAGAGTTAGGTTACGAGATCTACCTTGGTGAGTGCGTAGTATGGTAGGTATACATATGCTCTGACAGCCAAAAAGTCTGTGATTCCTTCTCCCACAGTCAAGAAATCTTTATTGGGATGTGTGTTGAATTTGAAGGGTATGCATATCAGACACTTGACATGTTTCACATCATAGATTCATGTTTATGGCAACTACGAATGTCTGGTATGTATGGCATCAGGTGTATGTAGTGCATAGTACTGCAGACATATTACGGACTGTGCATTTGTACCTGGGGTTAAGTGCGGAGTAACTAAGATCCGGAGGGGCTGGTGTCTGGTCGTGAGCTTGCTGTGCGGGATGTTGGCAATTGCAGTGACAAAGCCCCACCCACCTTGCAAGTGCTTCTGCAGCTTTGTGACGCAATGTGTGGACGGATGCGCGGTGGGTGTGACGAGGCAGAAGGCAGATTAGCGAGGCTGGGAGAGAGAGGGAGAGTGAGAACACACACACACGCTCAGTCAACTCAACACAGACTCGACACGACTCGACGGACACAGACACAAAGTGGCAAAATGGCAAAGTCGCAGTCTTGAATTTACGAACACAATGTCGAAGCAAAGTCACACTGAGCACAAGCACTGAGGCTGAAAACTTTGTGTGCGTACTGTGCTTGAGTCCGTACTTAAGTACCGTACTCAAGTACGTTTCTGAGGGCGAAAATGAAAATGCCTCAGGGCCAGAACTGAAAATTGAAAGTCTGAGAGTGGGCGCCAGAATGCCGGATGGCACCAAGTGTCCGATATCCAAAAGTCCAAAAAGAAGGAAGTTGAAAATGGGCGCCAGAATGCAGATGGCGCCAACTGTCCGAAAACGGAAAAGCAAAAACAAAGTAAAACCTGTGTTAAACTCCAGACCGTCCGGTGGCCTGGCCTTCGTCTGGCAGGGGTCCCGGGCGGCCCGGCCGGTTGGGTCCCCCGGTTTGGCGCAGGGCGAGCCCAGTGCAATTTCGCGTGGGTGGGGGGGCGAGGCCTTTTTTCGCGCGGGTGGGGGGGGGAGGCCTTTTTCGGCTACTGGTCGCCTCCCCAGGCTCCAGCAACGCCAGGCGGAGTGTTTTTTTGAATCTGCGAGTACTTTGAAGGGGGGGGGGGGAAGGCCTTCAAAGATCAGTGAATGACATCAGCTGCCAAGAAATTGATTCCCCCTCTGGCGGGCTACGACGTCGCGTTCGAATTCGAACGCGGCATTCCCTGTTGCGACGCCCGTCGTCGCTGCCGTCGCGAAGCCGCCCGTCGTCGCTGCCGTCGCTAACCCCGCTCGTCGTCGCTGCCGTCACGAAGCCCGCCCGTGGTCGCTGCTGCTCCTCGTCGAGCTGCCATCATTGTCTCTGTCCAGCTACCCCATCAAGATGCCCTGCCCGTGAAGCTGCTTATGCCATCGTAGTGAACCCTCCTCCACCTCTTTCCTTCCTCTTATTCTTCTTCCTCTCCTCTTCCTCCTCCTTTCGTATTCTCCTCCTCCTCCTCCTCCTC